ATACACCATTTTAGCAGTAAATGTACTGAATATAAAATTACCAAATACGCGATAACAGTTTCTAGAATGTGTTTGTCATAAGTTTGAATTAAAATTGTCCAAAAAACAGCATTTCTTTACAGCCAAAAAACAAAATACATGTTATTAAGCCTCGCTTTGAATATCACTTATGATATACTGTAAAAGTATTAATTTTCGCTGGTACGTGTATTTATTTGTTCACTACAAATCATGATGTCACGTTAATTCCAGCATATTTGGTATTGATTTACCAATGTAACTAAGTATTCAATGGCCGTGTGGTTTGTGTGTCACTATATGCAGTATTGTTGAATCATTTGTTGCACACGCGTCTTAACGAAGTGCATTTTAATTCATATGATAAAACACAGTTGAGTGACTGTGGATAAAACAATATGATCAGAATCAGGCCATCTTGACTGGTGCATTGTGGGTAGAACTTTAACCGTGTGTAATTCATGCATTTGTAATTACGATATTGACTTTTTTGTAGCAGTCACAATTCATCTCAAAGAATATCGATTTAAATCATTTCTGCTTTGAACGTCCATTAGCAATCGATTTAATTACTGTAGTATTTGCTTAAAGTGGTGAGAATTTGAACATAATGCAAGTTGAATGCAGGTATGTATCTAATACCAGGTACTATCACGGTTACTTCTAGTAACCGTGGTTCTGTCAACTAGTAAAAAATCCACTCCAAGACCAAAAAATAAAATATTCCAAATCCCGAACGTTGGTTTAGTCTGATTTTTTTTTTTATTCAACGGATATGCATGTTCTGCGGATGGATACTTCCAGATACATAACTTCCGGTTTGAAGCCTAGTTTTGTACAGAGGAAGCTACAGACAGACAATTTTGTGAAAAATAAGCATGTATTTTTTTTTTAATGGAACTTTAGAATTAAGTAGACGATGATGTAACGGTAAACATACACGTACAAAACAGATAAATGTGCCTAGTCACGTTCAACGTGAATACACTGATTACACTTTACAAATAATAAGTACTAGTACATGTAATCTCATTCAGGTCGACGTAAACATATCCCACTACTTGAACAAGGAGATTATGCGACATGTTTACGTACGGCATGGAGGTACGCATGCGTACAGTAACCCACGAAATGTTCACTTCCATTTGGCTATAGAAGCAACGTTTCATTGCTTAGTCATTGTATGCGGAACTCATGGAATAATAATTAATTAAATGTGCGTTGAGGAAAATGATTGAAATGATACTCACGATGCAGCACGGTTAGAATTAGCAGTCAGTCCAAAGATAAGCATTATGACTCAGTTTGTGGCTATATATTTAAAGATTTCCTGTATGTAATATTAATTTAAAGCGCGGTGGTCGTCGCGCAGCGCGTGCTCGAATTTCATGTAAATGAACAATGTATTTTACACGCGTTGTATACGTCGCTATGAGTCCCATATCGAACAGGACGCGGCACGACGACTGCCGCCCTTTAAACTTAGCATGCACGTCTTTTTATAATGTTATCATCATGTCTATTTCATCTAGTATATGTGCAATTATAGTCATAATTACTGCAAATAAGACATCTCATGATATTTATTATCAAAGTATGTGTGAATGGGCCAATTGCACAATAAAAATACTAGTAGTATAGTTTAATGTTGCTAATGTTATTATATATTTTTACTTAAAGCGGGAGAGTCTCACCTGCGCATGCGGTGATGGCCATAGCGTGACATTGTTTACAAACAAGCGTCTACCC